CTCATGAAATATTTAAGAATGTTCCAAATAGGAGAATTAAAATGATAATTTTAACAATTGGATTTCAAGTCTGGATTCTTTGCTTATAATTTAATTACCAAGCCATGCTTTATAAATATAAAGCTACTAGGTGAGAGTTCTCCAAAAACTCCTGGGTCTTTGTAGCAGAAAAGAAAGATCCTAAGGACTGAGGTAAATGTACAAATAAATACAAATATCTTGCATTTCAACTTTTTTTTATGTTTTTAAAATCCTACCCTTTGTATTAGTCTCACTTTTTTTTTTTCAATCAACTACTCTTAGATATACACACTATCTTATGAGGAAGCTGAAACTCAACATAAGCAATTTTTTTCAAGTCCTCCATTTAGTAAATGTCATGTATAGGACTCAAACCAGTTTTCTTCCACTTTCAGCCCAGAGTTCTTTACTCTCATCCTGTACAGATGAATGAGTCAGATAGTCTATGTCCATTTACCAATAGCCAGAAAATTTGCTTTAGAGGAAATGCACCCCGGCAGGTGAAGGGCATTATCTAAACAGTATGGAAATAAATAGCAATTAGCACCTGGAGGAGTTGTTAGCAGTAATGGCTCAGCAAAACCCAACTGGATATTCCTGTGGCGGACCCTGCAATCATTTCTTAGGGTCCAGGTGGAGAGGCAGGCAAGGGACAGAATTCTGATCCTTTTAAGAGCACCGAAGCAGCTAGTGGAACATTGCTAGTCTTATGTTTTATCTTGAGTTTCTAGACACTTCATAAAAGTACAGACTGAGGCCAAAAAAAAAAAAAAAAAAAAAAAAAAAAAAAAAAAAAAAAAAAAAAAAAAAAAAAAAAAAAAGAATAAGGAATCTACTTATTGAGAGTGGTGTGTAAGGTAAGGGAAAATAAAGCAGCAAAAAAATCCATTTGTTAGACGCTATTCAATTTAGAGTGGAGATGCCTAAGTGATGAAACCCCTTATAAATTTTTGTCTGAGGATAGGTTTGGTCTCAGAGTGAAATGTGGCTTAGCATGCTAATAGCTTTCGTTGTGAAGAGAGGAGAAATGTGAGGAAAGGAATGAGAGATGTTGACAGACCACGCTGAAAGAAGCTGTGCTCTGGAGGATGTGTTAATAAAGATGTCACTGCATAGCAGCAGTTTTCTTCCTATTTCTTATATGAGACTAGTTGGAACTGAAATCAGAAATGCATATTCTGTAGAAGAGTCGTGATTTTCACCTCTTTAAAAGCTGTCTTTATAACACGAAGTATAAGAAAATAGAATAAAAAATGGGAAGACTCCTTCCTGAATCCTTGGAAAACCACTAATGGTCTGGTAATCCTGGAGAGCAAGCTGGTTAAGAGGTGGTGACCAGTGAAAGGTCACTCAGCATGCTGCCCCTCCTTGTGGGGCTTGTCCTAGAGGTTGTCCCCAGGGCTGTGCCCAGTTTTCTTTGGTGCAGGACTACCTGAGTTCAGTTCATGGCTCCACCACTCAAACTTCCTGTGCTTTGGCGTCCCTTAGGGAAATGAAGATAGGTTTTATTACTATCTGGTGGGGCTGTTGTAAAGATTAAATGTGTTAATACTTGTAAATCACTTGAAATAGTTCCTGGCCCATTGGCAAAACCAAGTCTTAGCTAACATTATTTGTCTGCAAGACTGGTCTATTTTCAGGCAAACTTCAGTGCCTGAAACAGTATCAGTGCTCCCCAATAAAGTGATATTTTCTTAAAAATAAATGCATATTCTTCACTCAAAGAAACCTCAAGCCTCTAAGAAAAGTAACCATTAAAACAAAGCAACAACAACAAAAACTCGACAAACAAGTTGGTTGGACACCTCATGTTCTGGAATAAAGAGACTTAGAGCTGGGAAAGACTCAGAGGTTGTATCTGGTCCTGTGTCTTTCCACTCTCATGCTTCTGTCTGTTATCGTAGTTGCATTCGAGCTCTGCATGGTAAGAATTTTGCTGCTCTCTAGGCAGCCCCTTCCACTGGGGGAAACCCGAGGGGCTTGTCCTGAATGTCTGTCTTTGTAATTTTCCCCTCTTGGCCCTATTTGTGCTTTAAGTACTTAAACAAGAATAAATCTACTCAATAAATAAGCCCATGTCACAGTTCTTGTCCAAAAAGGCAATTATCTCTTTCTCTGTGGCTCTCAAGATTTGCAGTTCTGTTCTCTCATCCATCTCCCACTCTTTAATTTGTTTAGTTGTCCTTTCACAAAAGGGATATTGCCTAAGGATTTGAGGAAGAAAAGCAGTCTGTAAAATACAGAAGTCTGGTGTCTTCAGACTGAAAAAGGACAGTGAGCTGAGAATAAGATATTTAGAAAAGTATAGGGAGTTTGCATCAGGGTATTCTACTCATTTTAAGGAACTTAAAACTGACTAACTCATTAAAGTGGTTATTTATGAAGAAAAGTCAGCTAGATGTTTGAAACTGTAGCAAAACAAATCACTTCTGCCCACAGGTTCCCTTTGAGGCCTCTTGCCACCACAGGAGCACAGCTGACTGGGGACAGCTGGTGTCTGCTGAATGTCCTCTGCTGGTCTAATTGCACTTTTCCAGGTTCTTGGTGGTGTGGAGTCCACAGCAGGGGGGGGTGGGGGATGTGGATTTCTCAGAAGCTCAGCCTCAAGGGCCAGTTCTCTGCATCAGAGAGAAGTGCCAGAGGGAGCCTGAGCTTTCTCACCTCTGCAGACACCAGCTTCTCCAAAGGCTGATGGGCCCAGTGATAAATTGGAAGGAAAAAGGAAAGGAAAGGAGAAAACAAACAGGGCTACAGAGGAGAATAAAGAAATGTTTCAAGATTCTAACAAAAACAAGAGGGAGCATATTCCTTTAATAAGGAGCTGTATTTAACTACTTATTAACAAAAACATCCTGGAAATTTAAAAACCTCTGAGCTTTTGAGACCATCAAATGGACACTATTTCAGAGACACTTGCTATAAACAGATTTAATCGCATTTAATTATTAAAACCCGCTTTTTTTTCCAGCTTTTTTGAAACTACCCTTCTAAAGATTTGATATTTGTGTAAATCTCTTTTTACCATCTCCACATCCCATAAGCACCCACAAAACAAATTTTAAGACATCTTTTTTTTTATGTTTACACAATTGCAGGCTCATCCCATTCAGACTGTATAAAGTGAGAACATAGATCAAGAATGTTGAAAGGTGCAGGACATCCTAACCAAACCTACGATGAAGGGTACGGTTAACCATTCTGTCTAAGGGAGGTGGAGTCCAGGATTATGGAAAACCACCTGAGCAGAGCAGAAAGAGCCTACTGTGGCACCAGGGCCAGGAGGGGCAGGGACTCATGAAGAAGGAGACCATTTCTCTGAACAGGACTGTGGCCAGGTGACTTGCATCCACCCTTGCCTCTGTCATTCACCAGCTGGGGGAAATCTGTTCAGTCCCACATTTTGGGTCATTCTTCCCACTTGCGGCATGAGGCTGTTAGATTAGCTCATTCATACTTCCAGTTCAGCTTTTGAGTGCTATAAGATTTCTCTGGAGGAATCTCATCTAGGGAAAGGGATTGATTGTGTGGGGAAGGAGCCGATGGTAGAAGCCCAATAAATGCCTCCCCCCATCCTTTATTATTTGACCCATGACCTGCTATACAAATTGGATTTCCACTTCAGGTTTGCTCAACAAATACTTGTTCAGCATATATTACATTTAATTCTGGGGGGAAAAAAGACACTGCTGCCAAAAATAATGTGACGATAACTGGCCTGGATGGTTTCAGAAATCCTTTCCAGCATTAACATTTTATGATCTTAATCTAGGAAATACAGATTCATTCATTTTTCACCATGGGAATTGTAAGGTATGAGCAATTATCTTGAATAATTAAGGTAAGGAAATGTCATAGACCATTGTTCTTCTATAAAGTACGCTACGTCTATAAAGCATTTAAAAAAAAGTTTGCAAGCTGGTTTCTTCTTTTTAGTGAAGAGTATAAACTTTCCTGATTTTTTTTTTCTTTTTTTGGCACTCAAAGGAAAATTTGATTGTATCAGAACCAGACTATAGCAATGCTTTACATTTTTCAAACAACAGATTACTAATCAGGAAGTAAAGAAACTGAATTAACTGTAACCTTACATGATAACTAGAAGTCCTAAAAGAATCATGCATATTGTTAGAAATTTGATTCTCCCCCATTAACAACAATAGGAAATAACAAAACCAGTGTTCATTATGCACAAAAAAATATACATATCAGATCCAAGGTACCAAGTTTGGAATATGACTCATTTGTGAATTTCTTAGATTCATTTTCTGAAAGAATTAATTCAACTAAGGTGCTAAGAACTGTAAGGTTCTTGAACATTGAGAAAATTGGGCACAGTATATATTATATAATGTAAATTGATTTTATAATGGTTTATTGATGACCTATCATGCTTTCTTTGTAACTAGAAATCTTTTTACATTCCTCCTGCCATACATACATCATACAGGTAAGGAAGGGAAACTCAACCATAGAGGTGCTGAGGTGACATAAGTGACCTAAGGGAGGTAAACATAAAAGTGTGTCGAAGTGTGCCTCATATGTGCTCTGCTGGTACCCTAAGCACTGGGTGAATCTAGTAAATTATATAATTAATTTGATTTGACTCTCCTCAGTTAATTGCACATTGATAGATTAGTTATTAGTAATGCAAATAACTCTTGAAAATGTAGGGTTACCATTATTTTAGTATCTGATTTTTTAGTACTAATAATCCAGTAGTAAAAATAGATAAAAATAAAAAGAGAAAGAACTCCAAATACTATTTTCTGCATCCTTTATTTGATAGCAGGGAAATTATTTTCCAAGGATATTCCTTTTGTTTGAATTTGTAACTTCTGTCTGAAAAACCTTTTGTTAGAAAGGTTTTAGAGTATTGCTAAGTAAACCATGGTTCAAATTACCAGAAAAGACTTTGCTATATTGTGGGAAGGGCTAAAAAGACATTAATTTTAGGTAAACAAAGACTATAGGAGCTAGACTTATGATAGGAGGTCTTTATAAAAAAAAAAAACAAACAATAAAGGGAGATGATCTTATCAAGTGAGTTATATATTGCTTGTGTTTCTTAGCTCTCTTAGAGTCTTTTTGGCAGGCTTTAAATTGCTGAGGTTTTTTATTTGTGTTTAAAAGAAGTTGATTTCTCAGACTAAAGGCATTGCAAACAGTCACAAGAATTGAATTCCAAGGAAAGAGACTGCTATAGTAAAATTAGATTACATAGAATGTATTCTATTAGGGGAATTTTACAGACATTAAAAGAAGTAAAATAATAAAAAACAAAACATATTTCTTAAAGAATCCTTCCAAACCTCAGATTAATATAGTTAAATTAAAGCTTATCATTCTTGAGAATTTAATGACTCTAATATTTCCTTTCACAGCTAATTTCTCAGACAGCCCATTTATTTTTTTGGTGTAACTTTAAAGTGTTCACAAAGAAATATCCATGACTAAAGTTAACACATAAATATTGTATCATTGAAGCTGCCCTGTAAATAGAGAAGCATAATCTCAGCCTTTGCAGTTTACAAAATCAAGCCCACTGATTTAATGCACTTACTTCCCAAGATGGCCAAACCCACTGGAGTGACTTACTAAGGTATCTGGCGTCGACATCCTCGTGGTGTTCAGTCCTACCAAGGATGGGAGAGTTTGGGACATCCAGTTTGAGATCATTGCCATGGTACTAAGCACAGCGCCAAGCTTCAGCAGTGGAGGACTCATTGCTGTGGAGCTAATGAGTTTTCATAGTGACTGATTAAGATCCCGGTGCTGGGCTGGCAGCGGGAGGCGTGACTGCAGCACGCCTCATCTACAGCATGAAAAGAGATCAACTTTCCCAGCTCTAATCAGTAGGGAAAGCTCACAGAACCTCTTTCCCCCACCCTCGTGGGAAGTGCCCTGCGCTTCCTTTTCCTTTGCTGGTTCATCAAATGAAATATTGTTGGTAGGGCTTGGTTGGTAATTATCAGAGCAAAGGTTGGAGAGAGAGGGAAACTTGAGCTCTTCCTGCTCCACTGTAGGCAGTTACCATCAACAGAGTCTGTTTCCTCTGGGGTTTTTGTGAGTATAATCAGCTGCTCTTTATCCTTCATAAAAAATACACCTTTAGATGGAGGTCTGCCAAAGTGCACATTTCAAATATCAAACTTGATATCTACAGATTTCTCCCAGCATAGACAGAGTACTTTTAGGCAGAGCATGAAAACAAAGTCTGCAATTTCCAAGATGATCAGTTATTGAGAGTAAGAGGGTTTTTTTTTTTGTTTTTTTTGTTTTTTTTGGTTTCGTTTTTAGCAGTAACCTAAAATTAACTTCGTTGCCTCTTAATAAAAAAAAAAAAAAAGTCAAAGATTAATAGCTACTGCCTATAGAGAACATTACCCTAGGCAGCTTACTTGTGAATAGAGAGAAAATGCAGCCTTAGAGGAAAGCTTCTGTTATGGAAATTTCATATGTTCCCAGTTTTGCTTTTAAGAATGAGTGCTTCCTAGTTGCTCAGACACAGGACAAACCCAGTTAACTCTATTTTTACCTTATGAGGAATGAAAGATACCAGAAGTCTGTGTCATGAGAGAACATGTGACTTATTAAAAAAGATCCCAGAACTTGGATTCACAGTCTGCGGGCCTAGTCCTATTCTCTTCTGGTTAGTTGAGTGACTGGCCAGTGACTTAGATTCTTTGGCTTACAGTTTTTGAGTTTGGACTCCATGCTCTCCAAGGCCCGTTCCAGCTTTAAAATTCAATGATCTGTTTATTAGAGTTCCATTGGCAAATGTGTATATTAAATTTGGGCCTTAGGGGTAGTTTTATTATTATTATTATTATTATTATTATTATTATTATTTTACAAATACTATGAATCGCCCGTATATAAATCTCAGGTCCTGAATGGAATAAATCAGAGGCCTTTGTTTTATATGTGTTTTAAAATAAAAAATGTAGAGAGAGGCATGAAGGGAAAAATGAATGAAAATTAAATGAAAAGGAACCTGTTATAAGAAGGAAACATATTATTTTGATTCCTTAGGAGAATTCTGGAATTGTTTGTAGCTGGAATTCTCAGCCAAAGATATATATTTTTCATAAGCAGTTTTGGCAGGAGAAATAAAGAAAATGTCTAATAAAATTGAAAGAGATACATATTTACACAGGTGTGTATGCCCTTTATTCTCAAAAAGAGCTTTAAACTAAGATGAATACTGAGACACTTTTCAAATCTTCCTTGCTTCTATTACTAGGAATCTAGGCTCTTTTTTTTCCTTCAAAATCTATCCAAATGATATTAGTTGACTCATATTTTTTTAACCACAGGCCTAGAAAACCAAGTATTACTTACTTGTGTCTTTCAAAAATCCTATCATATGAGAAATCAACAAGGATAAAAGTAAATTAGTTTATATATTACACTTAGCCTTGAATAGGGTATTCATACAAAGGACTGAAATTTTACATTAGTATTAGAATGTGGCAATAACAAAAAGCAAAGTGGACTTACAAATGTAATATTAGAAAAATACACCTGGAACAATACCTGATTTAGGAGAGGAAGTGTCTTTTCAAGAGCTTAATTTCCAAAATTGAAAACTAATACATGCAATTGCTGGATAACTTAAGATGCAACATAGCAGATGGTAATTACAGTTATTAATGAACTAGGAGTCAACAAAATAATAGCATCTTTAGAAGAATATAGGATTGAATATTGGGGGAACCAGTGCTCTTATTTGCAAATTTTTAAGAAAGGAAGAGGGGCACCTGGGTAGCTCAGTTGGTTAAGCATTTGACTCTTGATTGCTGCTCAGGTCATGATCTCACAGTTCATGAGATTGTGCCCTGTGTCAGGCGCTGACAGAGTGGCGCCTGCTTGGGACTCTTTCTCTCCCTCTGTCTCTGCTTCTTCCCTGTTTGCACACCAGTGCATGCGTGCGCTCTCTCTCAAACATTTTTTTTCAAAAAGGAATAAAGAAAAGCACAAAACAAATGGAATGCTTCTTGTAATTCCCCATAGATGCAAGTGATTAAGGAATAGAAACAGAACAAGAGTGAAAATTTATGATTCAATGGTGTTTATCGACAACATCAAATCTATAATGTGTTGTTTTTAGAACAGGTTTAAATGGCACACATTGAAATAAAAATGCTTAAGTTACAGTGATTATTAGTTGTGGGAAATAAAAATAGCTACTCTTTGTAAAGAACTAAATAGTTTCCTGTGCTCTCATAATCTAGTGAAGTGATTATCATTATAATTTCCATTTTGGAAGTTGAGTTCTAGTTTGCAGATGGGGGAAGTGATTTTTCCATGTCACAACCTATTTTAAGGGAAAGAAACTCCACAGTTACAGAAGTTCCATAAGAATAGTGTGAAAGGTGGTGATGGAACAAGTAGCAAGAGTGAGTCTGGAAATGTTAGCAGTGACCAGCTCCCAGACCCTCAGGGTCGTCCAAAGATGTTTGTGAGTTATCTTCTCTGTACTTCCAAGAATTTTAAGCAAAACGGTGAAGTCATTAGTCATTGAGATTTATATCTCAAATTATTATTGCTTTGACATTTTTATGATGCACGATAGACAAATGGGTGTTGCAGGAACAGCAAAGCATATCAGAGACAGGAAGGTCACTTAGGGGCATATTCTCATATTTTAGGCAAGAGGATGAGGTCCTGGAATAAGAAATTTAGTGGAGTTCAAAAGGATGGATTTTGTAAAGAGTCAAGGTAGAATTGACACCACTTAGAGATTGAATAGATGGAAGAGGGAGAGGAATTTACCTGGAGGAATTTCATTGAGGTTTGGGGTTTAGGTGGTGAATACTCCTCAGCAGGATAAGAAATACAAGTAGGGGTGCCTGGGTGGCTCAGTCTGTTAAGCGTCCTTGGCTCAGGTCATGATCTCAAGGTTTGTGAGTTTGAGGCTCACGTTGGGCTCTGTGCTGACAGCTCAGAGCCTGGAGCCTGCTTCAGATTCTGTGTCACCCTTTCTCTCTGTCCTTCCTGTGCTTGTGCTCTCTCTCTGTCTCTCAAATAAATGTGAAAAGAAATACAAGCAGAAGTATGACTTGGGGAGAAGATAGAGTTCATTGTCACATACTGGATATGAGTTGCCTATGGTAGAGAGAATCCCTGGTTGGTAATATACCTACACATGGAGTTCAGAAAAGAGTTAATTTCACTAGACCACAAGGGCCTAGTAAAAATAACGTGTCCTACGTAGATGACAAAAATGGTTAATTTAGGAACACGTTGTCCTAAACTACCAACAATTTTATTTAGACATTTAGATAATGTCTAGATTTAATTACCTATAGATGATATCCTATATACTTTTCTTGAAAAGTAATAAAAAAAAAAGTTCTGTCACTAGTAAATGGTGAAGATATTACTAAATTTAATAACCTAACAGAAAATGTGACCTGACTACACACCTACTTTCCTTTCAGAGTTTCAGTGTAGGTCAATAACGATAAAACCTACAACAGTGCATTACTGCTCATGGACTGCTGCTAAATATTGATATATTTATTCATTAGATTTTTTATGTTACCCTCTCTTTTTATTACCTAGAGGATATTTCATGATAAACTCATATAATAATTAGAAAGCAAATATTGACCAAGGAAGATTTATAGGTAAGCTTAAATAATATTGGCATATTCTGTCATTAGAATTTTTTTCCTTGATTTGGAGCACAAATGTTTAACAGTGCTTTAATGCTCAACACGCTTTCTACTTTGGGGGCTATTTGGTGGTTGTGTGTGGGTTTTTGGGGAACCCAGCTTAGGCAGACCTGAAAAAGTAAACACGTGAAAAGACCTGATGGCCACATAAAACATGATAGAAAACCAAAAAGTTTGACTTTAGGCAAAATGAGAAAGTGGCTGATATTACGTGTTTAACAGTAGAAACTTTAAGAAAGAATAGACTACTTGTACTTTATTTTTGTAGTTTAAAATATTTAAACTTTGTGGATGGTTTAAGAGAGGAAAATGACATATTAAATGTAGTTGTAAAGATACAGTAGGGAGTAAAGAAATTGATGAAGGAGGAGGAGGAAGGGGAAAAGAGAAGGGAAATGGCAGGGGGAGGTGAGGGAGGGGAAGATAGAGTAACAATTGAGTTGAATACTGAAAGATGCATTGGATGGTTAAAAGAACACTTAAACCAAAGTGACCTCTGGAAAAAACAAAATGGATTCCCGGTAGCAACCTAAGTAGGAAATGTAGGAAGAGTGGCATAAGATTAAGGAAAATAGAGTGCTTGTGTTGAAATCACTTTGGTGATGCTATATACCCTGGATGTCATGGTATGTAAGTGTTTAGGTAAGTAAACAGTTTCATTTATGAGTCTACACCATCTCATGTGTAAAATAATGGATAAATGAACCTATGTGGAAGGACTGAATGAGAGAATGAGAATATATTGAAAGACTAAAGGAGAGAATATATTTGAAAGTGCCTGTAGCATGGCAGATGCTCTGTAAATGGCAACCTTATTTTTGGTGAGAAACGGCATGATTGAGGCAGGGGCAGAAAGTGTAGATCAGTTTAAGGAACATCAGGCCCTGAAAAGGTGGGAAGCATATCTTTGCAAGGATTAGCTGATTTGGACTTGGAGTGTATGAGGAGATTAATACAACTCTGCTATGCAACACAAAGTCACTCTGTGTCTCTGGAACTAATAGTCCAACTCAAAGCAGGAAAAAAGGGACCAATAATCTTTCT